AATATTAAAGATATAAAACTATTTTGAACCTATGAATACTCAATTATTTGATAATAACAAATTAACCTAATAGTTACCTTATTGAATTTACGAATAAATAACAAAAAATAAAATGTCATTTTTTATTTAAATATTTAGTTTATAATGTGTATTGTATAATGAAAAGCAAAATAGCAATATTTATTATTTAATTCAATAAATTTCATCAAATGTAATAAATTTATAGTATTAAATGTATTATGGAAATTCAAAAACTCAAATGCTTCAATCAATTATATATAATTTAATTAATTTAATAATTAACAGTTAAAGATATACTGGACATCTCTGTTTAAACAGACAACTTTTTTAATATTAGATCCAATTATCATTTTGCTGAAAATTTTAAGTTATTATATTAAAATGATAATAATATTCATTTTATCAATTTCAGATTGCAATTTTTGCAAAAAAAATTGGCCACAAAGAGCGGGAGTGCTCCAAGAAAGGTAATTACAATTTTTAACTTTATGGCTTGATAAAGTCGTTCAATAAGAAGATTCTTATCTTATAGCTGTATGGTAATTTCTAATAAATATCTTTATCAGAGGCTCCAGTTACAGCGGCTCCAGCAGCGGTGGCGGCTCCAGCAGCGGTGACGGCTGCAGTAGCGGTGGCAGCTCCAGCAATTATGGGGGGAGAAATTAAAATTTTTTTTTTTTTAATAAAGATTTTTTTTAACACTGAGTTTTTTAATTAATAGTTGATTTTGCTTTTGTTATAAGTCAAACGTGAACTCATGTAGTTTATTTCAGACTTTGAAAGATTTTTCAGTAACACATTAATTAAAATTAAAATGTCTTCTGTGTAAGTAAAGTGAATAAACATTTAACATTACAGAGATTGCGATATTTCTGTATAAAATTATTTTAATTCATTAGTTATTTGCATATTGAAAGATGATCTGAGGGTGTCCAGTTACTTTTACTAAACTAATAGAAGGATTTTGAAATTTTATATACAGAGTAATCACAATTAGGTAAGATACTTATTTTCAATATTTTCTAAGAAAATATTGAGGACTTTTATATTTTTATGAAGAGAAAAAAATTTTAGGTTCAAAAAACTATAATAATATGTAGTTAAATCATTTTTCTTTTCGTCCTTTTAAGGATAAAAATTCATAACTGATTTTCTTTAACCGGAATCCTTATTTTTAACTTAATAATATCATAAAAAAAAAGTTACAAACAAATCTTGTTATAATTTATTTTATCCAATCAATTGTTTGCGTTTTAAGATTATTTAAAGTAAAAATTTATCATTTGTATGATTTTATGATATCAGTGACAGAAATCTGTTTTAATGATCCCTAAGTTATTTATTATATATATAATAAAGTCAAGTAAAATGTGTCCGATTGATAAACAATTGGTATCTTATTTTTTATGTCTTAGTCAATAAAAAAATTGGTTTATTGGACACTAGAAAAATGCGGATACTGTATTTCTAAATAAGTGAAAATTTGATCTAAAATCTCTTAACTTTAACATGTCTAGATAAGCAATTGTTCAGATAACAAACATAATAATAATATAATTTGTAATTTTTTTTTTATTATATTAATTAAAAAATAGTGTCCCATTTAATTAATGTAAAAGATTTTTATCCTTGAAAGGATCTTATATATATTTAGACATCTAATTTTTTCTTTGATAATCTTCTTTAAAAATTATTCAGAATTTTACAGTTTTAGATAGTTGTAAGGAGAGTGACCAAAATGTAACTCATATATTATGAGTCACAGCTCAGGCGTTATGACACATTATTGATGATTTAATAATAAACCAATCATTAATAAATCGAGTTCACGAAAAATATGAAAACTACGCTTAAGTTTTAACAAAGAATTATTTAAAGTCGGTGGTACTTGTGAAAAAGATAGTCTTTTACAGTAAAAATTTGGTAAAATATGCCCGTATTAACTTCATGTGAATGGTGCGAATAGCTTTTAGGTGTACCTCAGTTTTCAGCTTGAAAAGTGGACGCCGGCAGTAAACGCTTTTGCCTTGTTTTTCTAATGTCCTACTTAAACGATATCTGCTGTTCTTTTTCACGCGACGTATATTGTAAGATATTTATATATTATATATTGAGAGGTAACGACTTCGGCCACGCAACGGATTGTGGAGTCGCTACCCTCATGGCTCCCTTGCAAAAGGAAAGTCGGGTCGCCAATAACTTAGGCGAGAGTCTCGATTATAAAAAAGAAACAACACCTGGACCATAAGTGGATTTTAAAAAAAATTAAACAAAAAGTAAACCAAATAATATTAAATAAAATAATATACACTATGATGAAACAAGGTCGATCGTCGAATAAAAAAATTATATATATATACTAAAATATAGTGTTGTTGTAGACTATAATATGCTGATTCCTTGTAAATAAAACAAAATATGTTTTGTTTGATGTTGCCAGTGGTGGGCATACTTTAGTATATCGAAGATCGTTACCTTAAAACTAGGGAGCATTATTAAAGGTAAAAAAAAAATAAGATACACGTGAATATCTTCAATATTCACGCAATAAAAAGATTTTTGTTGATTAAGAATATTAAGGGAACTTTATTAAATAATGACAGTTAAGTTAATAGTGGACAATACCCAAAGGCAAAGACCACTCTAAAAACGAGTCGCAGTCGCATCGCATTCCTGGTGTTACCGGATCGCGTTGCTTCCTCTTCACGACCGACATCCAGTCCAAGACCTCGCCAGAGGGTGATCTTAGAAAAGGTCTTCGAAGGACGGCACTGGGTTTCAGACGTATTAGATACGAACACTATTATACAGTGGCATCACTAATAGAAAACATGACAATGGAGTAGGGTTTATGATACACGATCAGATAATACCAAATATGAAGACATTTACAGCCTTTAATGGTAGAATTTTCTATATTCGCATAGCGGGAAAGATACTTGACGTAATTATTATAAATTATTATGCTCTAACAGAAAAAAAGATGAAGATATAAAGGACAATTTCTATGAAGAAATAGAAAGTGTATATGACACGTTACCGCTGTACTATTTAAAGATGGTAGTAGGCGATGTAAACGCGAAGGTTGGAAGGAAACACATGTATAGGTTATAGGACATAACTATTTACATGAAATTGGTAACGGAAATGGAACTAGACAGGTAAATTTCACACACTCAAAAAATGTTATAATAAGCAGTACATATTTTCCTAAAAAAATATAAACAAATTTAATTAGATATTCTCAAATAGAGCGACATATAATCAAATTGACCACATACTTATCATCAGATACTTATAACATCAAGTACTTGGCCTTAAGCATCTACGACAAAAATAACTAGAATGATTCGGTCATGTATGGAAAATAGATGGGTAATTAAAACCGGTTAATTAAATTATAGTCAATTAAAAATATGCTAATCAATAAAAAAATTAAAACGAGACTCCTAGGGCGATCCAATACCCGATGGATTGATGTAGTTGCCATGATTATAATAATGATAGACAAGAACGCAACTACAGAGTCAGCGTATCATAGAGTTAGAAGGAGAGATTTTTTGATGTTAACGTTCTAAATAGATGGTTAAGTTGATGAAGAAAAAAAGAATAACTCTTTATATCGTTGTTAAACATATATATATATTAATACTGAGTGATTGATTAACTATGGCTCACAAAATATCCCTGAAAATATAAGAGCCATATATATATATATATATCCCAACTATTCGGACAAAAAACATATTTCGCGGACACCAACGTCCTCGAGACTAAGTGGTATGGGGAACTCATTTAACCTTCTCGGATATTATCAAAACTGCCGTGGTTTTCGTACCAAACTCACAAACTTTAAATGTAATATCTCTTGTTTTGATTATATGTTCATTGTACTCACTGAAACTTGGATTAATAGCAATTTTTTCTCTTCTGAACTTGGTTTAATTAATTATAATATATATAGATTTGATAGATCACCTATCACAAGCTCCTGCGAACGAGGTGGGGGGTTCTTATAGCCATACGCAAAGACATTCTTTCCTTCCCTCTCACCATATCAGATTGTGGTATTGAATAACTATTAATCCATTTTAGTATTAATTCAAATAATTTTATAATTTGCGGTGTTTATTTTTCTCCTCATTCCCCAGTTGAATTACACAAGGCACATCTAGACTTAGTCGAATCCATAGCCCAACAGTACCCATCCTACTCCTTAATTTTCTGTAGCGATTATAATTTTCCGTTCATTTCATGACAATCATGGACTCTATTACTCTTCCACTTCCTTATCACAGCACTCTAGTGTACCTGAAACTTTTTCATTTCATGGTTTTTATCAAAACAATAATATTCCAAATGCACATGGTAATATCCTTGATCTAATTTTTACTAATTCTAAATTTGCATCTATTAACCTCGCTCCCTTATCTGCCGTCCCTCCTGATACCTTCCATCCGCCATTGACTTATTCCCTCAACCGCCCCTCAATATCATTAACAAATAGTACTACTTTTTCATATTTTAATTTTAATAAATCAAATTTCCCTGGTATCATTCAGTACCTCAATTCTTTCAATTGGGAACTTACTTTTAAATCTCTTGATACGGATGACGTTATGGACACTTTCCTAGACGTCTTACATTCTTCTATCCATACTTTTGTTCCCATAAAATTTGCTAAGTATTTTACCTTTCCGCCTTGCTTCAATCCGGAACTCAAAAAACTAGTTTACTTAAAAAACTCAGTTCATGCTGGGTACAAACTAACCTCATCACTTATAGACTATAAAAATTTTTCTCTTATGCACGCTCGCTATAAACTTATATTAAAACGTTACTACCGTGACTACATTTTTATTTATCTTAAGATATGTTGTTGCCTGGCCACTTTTCCTGTAATGTCAAAAATCTTTTGATTCCGGGTTCTTCCCTTCCTCACTCAAGCTTGGCTCAAACCAGTGACCCGTCTCAAGTAACAAATTACCGTCCAATAACCACTCTTTCTCACATATCTAAACTATTTGAAACTATTGTTATTAATTCTATCCATCCTATCCTTAATATCATTTTATGTGATGAACAACATGGATTTCGTCCAGGTCGTTCAACAATCACTTGTAACCTCATTCTATCATCCTACATATATGATTCCTTCAGTCAGCAAAGTCAAGTAGATGTCATTTACATGGACTTCTCGAAGGCATTCGATAAAGTAGATCACAGTATTCTAATTAAAACTCTGGATAATCTAGGTATTGGTAATCCTCTACTGTCTTGGGTTCACTCTTATTTATATTATTTATTAATATTTTGTTTCAACTTCCCATTCGACCTCTGATACCTTCTATACATCTTCTGGAGTACCCCAAGGTGCAATTCTTTCTCCTCTTCTGTTTGCTCTTTTCATTAATTCCGCACCATCAGTCCTCCGTTATTCTAAATTACTGATATTTGCTGACGACATGAAACTTTTCCTCCGTATCAATTCCTTATCTGAATGCCACTTACTACAAGAAGATCTATTGCGGTTTACTAACTGAAGTGAATCCCTTGGCCTCTCTCAATATTAATAAATGCTCAATCATGTCATTCTTCCGACGCAATTCTCACATTGTGTTTCCTTATTCTATTAATAACATTCCTTTAATTCGTTCCTCTCAGTCAAAACGTGATCTTGGGTTTATTCTCACTCACAATCTTTCTCCAAATAAACACATCCAACATATTTCCTGTAAAGCTCTCAAACTCCTTGGTTTCACCTCCTGTATTATTCAAGAATTTAAATTATCCAACCCTCTTAAAACTCTCTACACCTCCCTTGTTCGCCCCATCCTAGAATACGGATCTGTTCTTTGGGATCCCCAAAGAAAATTTTTAAACCTGGCAGCATACCGCCTCAATATCCCTCATGCTCCTCATGATTACTCCCCTGTCCTATTTACCCTACATCTCTCCAGCGTTGCCAATCGACGCCACAAATTCAAACCTCTCCTTCCTAAATAACCTCCTATCAAACAAAAT